GGGCGGGAGGGCGTGTAAGCCCAAGCCCCTCGGTCGCCCACACTGCCTGGCAGTGGGCTGAGGTCAAGGGGGACCTTCAGGCAGAGCTTCTCCGTGGCAATCCTTGTGGGGTGTAGCTAACAGGCCGAACAGTTGCAATCACAGCCACCGTGTCTAATGTTATTTCAAGCAATAGTTAGCGTAACCACAAGCCATACGAGTTACACGAAGGACAGCTTGGTGGCCCAGTGGTCCACAGCCCATTCCAGACCCATGCTGGTGTATGTAGAATTTGATAACTGATCGTATAAGTGGAGTGGAGGAGAACCCCTTTGAAGCCAGAGGCAGATGAGGATGGTACCTGCCTTACTTTGATCCCTACCTAAGCTTAATCTCTCTCCTCTGTAATTCAGGGATAATAAAACCAATACTACACGTGTTTAGAGCTGATTGTATCAGTTGATGGTTTTTAACTAGTACTGTTGAGTAAATTAAAAATAAGAAAGGGTAGGTAGGTAGAAGAATGCATTCAAGCATTAGAGTTTTCTGGCCACAGCCTTCAAGAGTGACTAACACATTCATATCATAGAATCACAGAATGGTTTGGGTTGGAAGGGACCTTAAAGATCATCCAGTTCCAACCCCCCTGCCAACTAGACCAGGTTGCTCAAAGCCTCATCCAGCCTGGCCTTGGACACTTCCAGGGATGGGGCATCCACAGCTTCTCTGGGCAACCTGTTCCTGTGCCTCACCACCCTCTCCATGAAGAACTTCTTCCTGATATCCAATCTAAACCTCCCCACTTTCAATTTATACCCATTACCCCTTGTCCTGTCACTACAGGCCCTTGTAAAAAGTCCTCTCCCAGCCCCCTTGTAGGCCCCCTTCAGATACTGGAAAGCTGCAATGAGGTCTCCTCGGAGGCTCCTCTTCTCCAGGCTGAACAAGCCCAATTCTCGCAGCCTTTCGTCATAGGAGAGGTGCTCCAGCCCTCGGAGCATCTTCGTGACCTCCTCTGGACTCGCTCCAACCAGTCTATATCCTTCTGATGTTGAGGGCTCCACAGCTGGACGCAGCACTCCAGGTGGGGTCTCACCAGAGCAGAGCAGAGGGGCAGAATCCCCTCCCTCGACCTGCTGGCCACACTTCTCCTGATACAGCCCAGGATACGGTTGGCACGTCCCCAAGGACGCCACTGCTAGCACATAATGATGGCTCCAAGTTGTAAAGTATTAACTCATCACCTGTAAGTAAAATACATGGGAGTGTGATTTACCTGCACAAGAAATAATGCTTCCAAACCCTTGACGGATACTAAAGCTGCACGGAGGTGACATTAATAAGTGATTTTCCACAGAGGGCTAGAGAGAGGACAGAGGATGGTAAGATGGCAGAGAGTGAGGTAACAGAAGGAAGACAGTTGTTAATGGGAACAGTGGTCCAGATAATGATCTAATCTAATCATCAGTCTTATTTCCCCTCCTCGTCTGGCTCCAAAATCCTAAAAGCAAGTGTAGGTCACCTTGTTTAGCAGCTGGAGAGTGGAGAAATCTGGGTGGGTGGGTTTGTGATGGGAGGCAACTCAAGGGGACAGCAAACTGAGGGGTAAGGCCACACTGGGCCAGAGTCTGGTGGGGTGCTGGTTGCGCAGAGGTTTTACCTTACACACACGCAGACGTGGCACTTTGTCGTGCCGTCAGCTAGCCAAATAAGAGGTGTGCATGACTGCTGCTGCAAATGGGAAGGCAGATTTCCAGTAGTGAATGAACCATGATGTCCCTGTAAAGCCACAGAATATGGTCGTTGGTGTCTGATAGAAGGACACTGAGGCTTTTAAAAGAGCTGGGTTTTGAGCCAGGTAGTTTTAAGCAGACAACTTGTTTCTTTAACCTTGACCCAAGCTGTTTGCCAGTGTCATGCCCAGTGCTAGTGGCTTAAGGAGAAACACAGCCAAAGCGCTGTGAGTACACCGGGGGTCTGCAAGCCCCAGGCTCATTGAGGAAGAGTTCAGCGAGGGCTGAGGTCCCGCCGTGGAACAGCTGCATTGTGCCCAGGCTCACCCGTTGTGCTCTTCCTTGCAGCTGGAGTCTCGTGTGAGAGCTTGGGGGTCAGGGAATGGGCTGAGCAAGGGGAAGGACTGACAGTGCCTTTGAAATCAAAAAGAAAACTAATTTTTGCATACTGTTGCAGCTGTAATCAACCCTCCTTGTCTACTGTCTGCTCCCTCTCCACTAACTGCAACCTTCCCATGATTAGATATCTATATAGACTGTCTCTGGAGACACTGAAGAGGGAGAGGTAGCTCCAGATTCACGTAGTTTGTATTAAACGCTCGACTTAGGGGGGATTATCCACTGGAGGCACTTTAGGAGGTGAATATTAGACACAATTGCTGTCTAACAACATGCTGATGGTGGCTCTGGGTTCAGATAACATTCAGTTACTGAGGGATTTCAAATATTTCTGTTGCTCTTAAACCTAATTAAGCAAATCAAGGTACTGAAGGAAGTGGAGAGCCAGGAGACTTTTACTAACTTTTGATTTTGTATACCTCTTTCTATACCTGAGGTGCCCAAAATTTATGAATTCAGTCAGTGAGGTGGGGAAACACAGCAGCCCATCTCTGGTTCAGACACTCCTGTGTAAAGAAATTCATGCCCTTATGTAAAGCTTTGCTTCCAGTGTTCTGGAGCCTTTCCCACGATTCCTAGATTTATAAAAAACGTCGTGTGTGAACCGCCTCTCCCCACAGGAACTGTGACTGGCGTTGTGGGGCGCTCAGACACCGCTGCGGATCTGCATCGGCAGCACAGAGCCTGGCTGCAAATGCCCCAGAACAGGAAAAGCTGACGGCACTTGGCGTGCTTGGTGCACAGGGTGCTCAGAGCCCGCTGCTGTGCCCTGCCTCTGCCACGGCTGCTCTTTCCCCTTAACCCAAGCAGTGCCTTGCCCCATGTTTGCCATAGATCTCCTTCTAACTGTGATAGCATCTTTGGATAATTGTCACAAATGAGCAGGACTCATCTTCCCCTCCCTCCCTCCCATTATTTTAAGCAGTGCAGGTATTTAGTAGTCAACTGTAACGAAAAGGATGAGCGCACCGTGATGGCAGACCGTTTGCCTAGAGCATAATCTTTGCATTTGTGACATGAGCTACGTGAGTGCCAAGCTGCCGTCCCTCTGCAGCAGAGATCGCTGCAGATGTGGCTTCTTGGTGGCTGATAAGGTCACGGGGGCTGCAGGGTCCCAGCGGTGAGCTGGGCAGCGAGGGACGATCAGCGCCCTTTGTGGGTTTTTCCTGCCAGGCACGCTACGGAACTGTTCCTCTGAGGGTAGCTGTGCTCTTGAAAGTGTTGTCAAAATGAAATCCCTTCAAAAATTTGTTTCTAGACATACTGCCTGAAGACAAAGGAGAGTGAGGGGAAAAAAAGAGAAGAAGGGTGCTATGGTAGTGATTAACAGCTGACACGAATACGTGTTTTAGAGGCCGGTGTTTCAATGCCACCGTTTGTACCTCAGACTCCGTGTTTGTCAGCACTGTGTCACCGAGGTGGGAAACTGAGGCCAGAAAAGCTGGGAAATGGTCAGAAACAAGGCAGGAAGGGAGCTTTAGCAGGAGAACCAAGAGGAAAAAGCCAGATCTTAGATCTTAAGGAAGAAAAACTGCAAAATTTGTCTAATTAAGGAATGTAGAACTAGACCGGGTGAGCTAAGGACGTTGATTTGCACATCAGGAGAAAGGAGAAGAGGCCTCACAAAAATAAAATCAGAGATGCAAGATGAAAACCAGGACAGAAGCATGGGGAATGGGATTGGAAGGGCTCGGAGGGAGGGGTAGTGGGAGTCACATGCTGTGGACAGGTCAAGGATGGTAAGAGCAGTGTAGGCCCTAATGTTCAAGTGGAAGTTTGTGTGACCTGTTGGGAGCCGTCACAGGGGGGTGAAGGAGACTTGAAACTCGACAGGATAGGCTCAAGCGTAGAGCTGAAGGATCAGGATTCATAGCACCTTTAAAAATCCTGGAAAAATACAGCTCAAAATACAATTGCCTAAGAAGCTTGTGAAACTGCTGCAGCTACAGTTAGCAGAACCTGACTCCCTTTTTTTAAGAAGGTGGGTGGATGGATGGACGGACGGACGGACGGACAGAGCGCTTGCAGGGTTTGGCTTTGGAACTCACTCCCTTTGCTTCCTTCTGTGCTCATATTGGTCATGATGAAAAAAATTGGCTTTGTCTTCAGTTGAAACCTTCATACGCATTGATGTTTTTTACATAATGGATTGTGCAGATCCTAATATGGGCACTAAAAACAAAGGCTATACAAATAAATACTGGGAAAGGGCCCACAGCTTCCTGAAGACTGATAGCCAGATTTCTTTCTGCATGCCTTTTGCATCCTGTTGATGATATGACACTTTTTCCCCAGTAATGTCCAAGACACATACTGCATTAATCAGATAATGTAACTTTCCATGATCTAGCCCTAAGAAATGTAATTTAACTTTCTTTTCCCTCCCTCGTTGACTCCCTTTGACAACTGACTTTTTCCTAATGGTTTCTCCAACCCAAGAAATCTGGCAGAAGTTATTATATTGTTCTCAAAGCAATGCTTGTGGTGTGATTAATGTGTGATTAGCTGCGTGAAGCTTAATTAAGGCCTTGCTCTTTCAAAGGCTTCCCTGTGATCCATACTGCATTTGAATCAGTTCTTGTGAAAGCCGATGCGAGTATGGACATCAGTTTGATCCACATATATTTTAAAGATTTGGGTACCCCAGGGCGGTAGCCCAAACCAGCCTTACGCACAAGTGGCCGCACGCTCCTTCAGCTTTGCAATGGCTGCATGGAAACCTGTAGGCGTCGTGGATGTGTGGCACTAACATGGAAAAGGAAGGAATGTATTCTTGAATCCCGCAAAAATGCATTACTTATTCCCCCCTGCCTCGTGTGGTACGTTCCCTGTACCGGAGCACCGGTCTCTTTAGGTACGACTGAAGGCAGCTTGTCTCTTTTGTTGTAGTTGCAGGTGGAACTTGATCAGGAATATCAAGACAAATTCAAAAGACTGCCTTTGGAAATTCTGGAGTTCGTACAGGAAGCCATGAAAGGGAAAATCAGCGAAGACGGAGACCACAGTTCTGCCCCCTCTTCCCTGGCATCTGACAGTGGAAAATCAAATCATAAACCTCTGCAAAGCGAAGAGGAATTGGAAGAAGATCATCCAGAAAAAGTATTTGATACAACTTTTTAACTGCCCACGAACCAATCCGTGTGCGCCAGGGCGCACCGCTCCCCAGCTGCCCGTCTCCGCTCTCCCGACGTGAGCCGCCGCTGGAGCGCTTCGGGAGGCAGGAAGAACCTGCCGTCAAGTGCACATTTCCCAAAAGGAACATTTTATAAAAAGTATTGTGCAAAGGTCTTCATTCTCATTCTTCATCTTATTCTTATTCTAAAGCTCAGTGCAGTTGTAATGGGAAAATTAATATGTTAACCATCTTCTCCTCTTTCATTTTTTTTTCCTTTTTGTTTTTTTTGGCCCATTTACAAGGGGTAATTTTCTGGCCATGTTCACTGTTAAGAATGTTTAATGAAGACCAGCGTATTGTACAGAGACAAATGTGCGCAGATTGCCTTTGGAAGTGCCAGTGCAAAGTGCTCCAAACTATCGCGGATCCTAGAGAATGTTGTAACAGTACCTAATCGTATTTGTTTCCTTCTTTATAACTGCACCTTGACAGCTGTGCCATCATTTACATTTGCACTGAAACATTTAACCCTTTTTAGCTTTGCAAGCACTGGTGGCTTGCTGTCTTGATTATTATGTTTATCACATGGGAAGAAATATATTTGCTGCTGAAAATTCTTGGAACTGTGGGGAGAAGAGGGGAACAGGGAAGAACTCTGCCTGGAGATTGTCGGTGTCTGTGTATGTCCGTGTTTGTTACACTGTGTGAGTGCATATATGTTTGTATATATATATATATAGCTATATGTGCACACACATCCGTCTATATACACACATGGCATGTTTCTGTTCGGAGTCGGCGCCGTCTGCTTGGCCAAATGAAACGTTTCAGGGATATGTGAGTAGAGAAAATCTTTATGAGAGCTAACATCTGGGTTATATTGCTATAAAATAGTCATTAAGTCACGAGATTCTTTTTGTGGTGTTAGTGTTGTAAATCAAAGTAGTTTTAGAATATAAATTTGATATATATTTTGCAGACTCAAAAGTATTGATTTTAAGTATCATATTTTAAGCTTACTGAATTTGATAGGATTATAAAGTGTTTAGGACTACAGTATTTGAAATTTAACAGAATCTTCCATTATTTTTAAGACTGAGGTTCAGTTTTGCTAAGGTCTGAAATTTAAAAGCAAATTATAAAAACCTGATCGCTGTTCTTTTAAGAATTTATATGAATCCATTTAACTGCCTAAAATAAGAACAATCGACATTAGTGTGCTGTACATGAGAGAAGTAACAGCACACGTTGAGAAATTCCGATCAGACGACAGAGACTGTGAAAAGTCAGGGTCATTGAAAGGGTAAAGAAATGCTATCATCCTCTGGATTCCCATACTAACAGGAGTAGGAATTATGAAGCATTGCAGCCGGATTCTTATTTGTACCCAAGCCAATGCATAACGCTGAAGGCCTTTCCCCGGGCCGTGCGGCACGGCAGCATCTTAGGGCGCAGGGTCAGCCAGCTCCAAGGATGTAGATTGGCGCGGAGAGGCCCGATCCTGCGCGCTCGCAGGAATGACTGTCCCTGCGCGTCACCGGCCTCGGCGCAGCTCTCGCGGGGCGTAGTGTTCCCACACGTTTGCAGGACGGGCCCTTGCTTCCTGTTACAGAGCAATCAGAGAGAGGAGTCGATTACCTAGGGAGTAATTTTAGTGCATTGTAACAGTTAAGTTACTTTACTTCCATTCCCTCAGGATTTTAGTACTTTGAAGTAACTTATTTTATTTAAATGTAAGCAATAAAATACAAATCAAGCTTAAGTTTTCAGTTAAATAATGGTGTGTATATATATATAAGTTCAAACCTGGGAAGACAAACAGTATTTTGATGTTTCTTTTTTAAACTTAGAAAGAAAGACAAATTGCACCTTGTTTGGAGATCGTATTTTGGATTAAACTATTCTGGTTTATGCCGATGAAATCAGCGAACCTGCAACTCAAAAATCTGACTTTCAGTTTAATAGTGGGAAAGATGAATCCTCTGTTAATCCTTATTTTGCACTTTGAAATCAATTCTTAATCACTCACTGAAAATGGAGAGTCAAGATGTAATGCTGCATTTTGTAAAGTCAAAATGACATATTGCCTAAATTATTAAAAGAATAAAGTGGTAGCGGTGTTCACAATAAAACCGAAGACTATTGCGTTATAGAAACCGTTGTACAGTGCAGGCTTTTTGGTAAAATCTCAGCTCCTTCGAATTTCAACACTTCTGTTCCTGTGGACTTCAGTGGAGCCAGGGCTTCACCACAGTCTTCAAAGAAACTTGGGCAAATACCAATTAACCTTTTATTTATATTAAACAAAAAGAAATCAGTGTAGCGGTTGGATGAAACATACGGTCAGCTGTAGTCATTTTACAGTACGTTTGTATTTGACCATTTCCTGTACTCACATTTTTTTATATCTGTACAGGGCCACTTTCTGCGGGTGTAAGGTGGTGTGTAATACTGTACATCTTGCATTGTTGAAACTATTTCAGTGAAACAGGTATCATTTAATATTGATATTACTTGAACTAGAGTAAGATAATGAAAAAAAGGGTCTTTATGATGTGCAAGTCTTGTGCCTTTTATGTATTTGCCTTGTTCCGTGTTGAATGTGTGGAAATGCTGTATCGTGGACTTTCTGCTGTATAGAATAGAGCTGTCTATATTAAACTAGGTCGTGCACTTCAGATATCTTTACACTACTGAAAATAGCTTGGTTTTGGCACTATAAACAGAATTTTAAAAATTCTAAAGAAGGCCAGACATTTTAGATTTAACATGTTCATAATTATGTTAATTAATGCTCATGTATTAGCTAAACAGTCACTGAAAGATAACTAAAGGGACATCATTGCTTGCCTTTCTTTGAAATCAGTGTTGCTCTTGTACATTGTATTAATAGTGTCTGTGATTGATTAGTCCTTGATGATTTGCTTTCCAAGTAGGATGGAATATTTCAGTTAACATGTACATATTTTTCGGTTCCTCAATCTAGGATTGTTTCGGAGGCATAATTCACATTTTTGTAAAAATTCTATGCAATTTTGTGGCATGATGTTTCTTCCACTCGTAATTTTACGTGCTTACATTACAGATCCAAAGGACAAATAAAAATTTCTTAACACAAGACGCTTGTTTCCTCTGTTCATTGACTCAAGAGCTTCAGCTGACTCAGGAGACCTTCCTGACCTGGAAGACCTTACCCTGTCCCCTTTGCTCCCGGGAAGGACGGCGCCACGAGGAGCCGGTGAAGTTTGCCCGTAGGCTCTTGTGTTCACAACGACGACGAGAACAAGCAATCGCACAAGCCAGCGCATCCCCTGCCCCTCCCAGTAAAATGTAAATTTGCTGGTGCTCTGAAAGAAGGGAAAACAAAAAAGTGCAGGGCAGCCAAGGAGCTGGGCTGGTTGTCAGCCATACTGGTAAACGACCTGGACAGATTAGAGCAGCTTTACTTCTCTTCCACTGCCCCAGCTCTTTCGCTAATCATCTGTGCAATTATATACGTGCTGTGAAATGCACCTTTGCAGGGGCCGTCCACTGAGAGCGCTGAAAAAGAAATCTATTCCTTTGGCTTTTGACTTTCCCTATTTAAATCACAACGTAAAAAATTATCTCTGGGAGAAGAGATAAGCAGGTGTATTAATCCAGTGTACTAAGGGATCTACCCACTGAAATAACGAGTTTCCAAGGCAGCTGGAGTCGAAGCGCTCACTAGGAGAGGGGTGGGGAAATGGGGTCCGACGAGGGGGATGGACACAGCACAGGGTGAAAGCAGGCAAGGAGGGGAGGAACAGAGCTGAAATTCAGGCCTGTGACTTTGACAGAGGGGAGTGGGACTAGGACAGAAACGGGGCGGGAAGTGGAAGAAAATTGAAACGGGTGCGTTTCCTTCTCAAAGGAGAAGCAGTGGAACGTGGAATCCAGAGCGAGGTTTGCTGAGCCCCTGTTAGTGAGCTGCTCGCTGTGTAGGGAGAAAGGGAGGGGAGGCAGACGGGACCACGGAGCAGGGAGGCAGCGCAGCGGCAAAAATTTCAGGATGAGGGGGAGAGGGTGATGGCAAGCACAGAGGGAAAAGCGAGGAGACCATGGGAAGAATCGGGAAACAACCCTTGGCTCCCGTGGGGCCCAGTGAGGCAGGATTCTCACAGCTGGCTGAGCAGACGACCTCGGCGTTTGTTGCACTTGGGTCACGAGAGACTGACTTGGCTGCTGAGGAGCGAGGGTGACAGGCTGGGATGCGTGGAAGAGCCACGTGGAGGCCAACCAAGGGGAAGATGGCGTTGCAGGCAGCAGGGCAGGAGCTGTGTGCTCTGGTGCAGCTGCGGATGCTGTGCAAAACAAGCCCGTTGCATTGCTGAAGCTTCGAGTGGATCCTTCAAATGCTCCTGGTGATGGTTGGAAGAAACGCAGCCTCACCACAGCAGCAGCAGTCTGCAAGTACCAGCGGGGAAGGTGACCAAAGGCTTCACTTTGCTCCCAAAGTGAATGCTTTGATAACTGGTGCCAGTGCCAGGTTCCAGCACGAGCAATACTCAGCTTTGTGAGCCTTCCATCACTTCCTTCCCAGTGATGCAGCCTCCAGGTGGGGGCTGGAGGGCAGCTGGGTCCAACGGAGGTGTTGGGGTGGGCATTGGGGAACATCGCTGAGCAGGGCAGGAGGAGTTTGGAGTGGGTGAACAGGCCGAAGGGCTGTACCACCAGGCCTCCTGAAGCCTGGGCATGCACTTGAAGCCTGGGGAATCATTTCAAGGTTAGCAGCTGTACCTTTGAAGAACCTGAATGGGGATTTAAACCCACAAAAACCCTTTCATACCCTTGGGCTTCAGGAGAGCTCTCAGTGTGGGAGTTGCACAAGTCTAATCTGCCAGCCCTGGCTTGAAGCAGCCAAGCTCCTGAAGCCACTTAGTTTCAGCGACAAAATTCACGTCAGCATTTCTTACTGACAGATTGGCTTCAATAACGCCATTTGGCTTCTTTGGGCGCTCAAAGACCTCTTGCTTGCTCCAGTCAC